AAGCAGAGCGCCTGTCCTCGTGTCCCCAGTGCTCCTCCTGCCAAAGGTGCTGGCTGGGCGGCACAGTCCCGGCTGGCAGCGCGGGGCAAAGCCTACATGCAAGGCAGCTAGTACATCGGGATCAGCAGACAGGGGCTAAAACTATCTGCACTTAGCCTTCGGTTTTTATAGGTGTACCTACCTTTCAGTGCCAATGAATAAACATGGTTAATAGTGCACCATTAATTCAACTGTAAAGACAAAAAATGTCTAATCTATGCTTAAAAACGTCCTTATTTTGTACAACACTTGGGGCTATTCAGGGCAGTTATGATTTCACACACAAGCTGAATTCATGAAACACACAGGAAATCCAACCAGCAGGTTATTTTTTCTTGCAATTTTTGTGAAGAACTTTAGAAAGCACTTACAGATGCAAGTGTGCAAGAATATACTTTCCTCTAAAAAGAATGGCCTTTCCATTCTACTTGCTTACCAGTCTTCACTCAATGCAGCATGCTATGCTGTACAGCTGCTCAATGCGTGTTCATAACAAGACGTCCTAAAAATCACTATAATTTCAAGAACTGCTTTGTAGGCCTGTTTCCCGTAACAGCTGTGTTATTGGCCCCATCCCCAAATTCCCTGCTGCAAAGCGACACTATTTGAGTCTCATCTAGTTCCTTTACTAGACATCAACTACCGTGCACCACTGGAAGGGGAAAAAGAAGAGGAAAGATGCAGAAACTTGAATAATTTGTTAAAAGAGTAGTAGTTACTGTGAGTGGGGGCTCTCACTTACACTGGGGCAAGTGAAGGTGAATTTTCCACCATACAGGCAGCTCTAATATTCTTTGGTATTGAAGTTACAAATTAACTGCACCAAGCCACCTTTGCTGACTCTATCAAAAACCAGCTGAGGTAGCAGCAGCACCATACTAACGCTGCTCTAGAGCCAGCTCCAGTTTGGAAACTGCTATTAACCTTCACAGGCAGGTTGCATCTGCGCAAGCAGTAACTCAAAATGCACCAGACACACCCAAACAGCTTTTCAAGAGCCAGTTTAATGCTGACAAGCGCGAAGCTAGGTGTAAGCCAATTTGGTGAAAAGCCGTACAAGTTCCTTTACACTCACTGTCCACCGAACTGCACGGTAACAAAGTTTTGGTATCATCTAGGGTATGCAAAAGAGTTACTTTCAATAACGTGACAGTTTTCTTACCAGGAGCTTGCACGTCTAAGGAAACAGAGTGCCAGCAGCACTGGGGAAGGAAGGAAGGAAGAAAAACCTGCAGGATGTGGTAACAGACAACGCAGAAAAATCTCTATCACAAAATAACTGAGCAAAGAATACAGTTTTTCTGTCAACAGTTGGGATTTTTGAGACCCAAGTGTTAATTTGCAAGCTTACTGAAAACTCGCCACTGTCTGTGCCCAGCATGCTCTTTCACTGTTGTGAGTGGAGCGTGCCAACCAGTCGCAGTAGTGCTCCACCGCCTATCGCTTCCCTCCAGATTAAAGAAGTATATTCCCTCCAGTTAAAGTGAGCACGGAAGTGCCATATGCTGAACTCCGGCCACAGCAGACTATTTGCTGTAACCCCCCTTCTCTGTAAAATAACTCGTCTACCTCAAGTTTTCCATTTCACAGCAGAGCTGAGGTTGGAAGGCACCTCCGGAGGTGATCTAGTCCAACACCCACCCCACCCCCCATGCGTCCAGTCAGGTTTTGAAGGAGACTCCACAACCTTTCTGGGCAACCTGCTCCACTGTTTGACTACTCTCACCAGAAAAGGTTTTTCTGACATTTAAATGGATTCTCCTGTATTTCAATTTGTGCCCATCGCCTCTCAATCTGCCACTAAGCACCACTGAGAAGTCTGGCTGGTTTTACTCCCCCTCCATCGTACATTTACACGGATTGGTAAGATCCCTCCTGAGCCTTCTCTTCTCCAGGCTGAGCAGTCCCCGCTCTCAGCCTCTCCTTGTACAACAGATGCTCCATTCCTTAATCATCATCACGGCCTTTTGCTGGACTAGCTCCAGTAAGTCCCTGTCTCTCTTGTACCAAGGAAGCCCAGAACTGGACCCAACACTCCAGATCCGAGTAGAAAAGGTCACCTCCCTTGACCTACTAGCAACACTCTTCCTGGGAGACTGCTGGCTCATGGTCAGCCTGTTACCCACCTCGACCCCCACCGCTTTTTCAGAACTTGCCTGAACACTAGCTTCCCCAGTCAAAATAGGTCATGCTCAGCACCCAGGCATCGCTCAGATGCGGAGGTTTCTCCTGCACCACACCCTCACTTCACCCTGTTCCAAACCACAGAGTTGGCAGGAGGCCCAGCCCAGCTCAGCTCATGGTCTCATGGTTCAGGACTGACTCAGCAGCAGGGAGAGGAAGCAAGCTTTTTAGTAGCCAGGAACAAGTTTAGCAAGTTCCCAGGACTATCGAAGAGGTATTTTTATGGTAAATGCTTTACTGTAAAAGCTTTCGTAAGAGCTTCTAAGAAGTTGGAAGTGGTAGATACAAAAATTTGCCCAGTTCTCCCAATACAGGAAGCAATTTAAGAGGAGCGCAAAAGAGCGTGCTGTTTGAAGTTCTCTACTTTCCCAGAGCGGTGTAGCAATACGAATAAGGCTACATCTCCCCAGTCAAACCTGCAGAAGTATTCATGTATCACCATAGCCTGTAGAAAGATTATAGTCTTTTATTTATTTCTTGTTTTACAGATTCAGATTTAACTTTCAATAATAAAGTTCAATAAATTGATTCCCTAATCATAAAAACTTGTTTTACACATTATGTACAGGTACCCAGAGACTACAGCTATACCACAGACCTTCACAGAGAACAAGTCGGGGAAAGGCGCTAACTGCAATGACATACATTCAGAGATCAAGTTGTGGATGTGCACAGTGCATTTGGCACAGCTCACTGAAGATTGCCCACACAGGGACAGTAAAATAATCCCAACTAAGTGATATGTGGATTAGTTCAACTACATTAATTCCAGGAGGAACACTTAATTCACAATTAAACTAGCCATCAGAAGAGATTTGATTAAGTTGAATCAAATGCAGCTGAACTAATCATTTTAGTTTCATTAAGCATCCCTCCATAGACAAATCCTAGACCTCGAGATCTGTATCCAGTATAAAACAAGTCTTTTTAGTTGAGATATGCAGAAGTTTGAGGACTGAGGGGAGCTCAGCTATTAGAAGTATTCTTTGGCAGTTTGATACAAATATCAAAAATAGATTACTTTTGAGGACTAAACTAAGCTTTTCCCATTTTATATCTTTACTGCCAGCACCAGAACGGCTTCAGTGACACAGTAACACTTACATATGGTAACTTAAACACAACCTTACATTTTAATGAAACAAAATTCATATTACAGATAAATTTCAGTACTCAAGATACCCTCCCACAGGCTATCCGCTCCCCACAAAAAAAGGTAAACTTCACATTCAGGGAGAAAACTTTCCTACGGCAATGACAGCACCCAGGAAACATTGCACGACTGTTCATCTTCTCTGCGATACAGTAACTGGCAAACATCAGAGACCAGTCTGCAAGAGGCAGCCAACTGTACTCTGAGCGTTCCAGCTCATGTGGAATGTTATTTGATCAAAGCCATTAGTTAATTGATTAAACATCCCTTTCTCTTTTACGAGATAAAGTAGACCACAGCGCTCTCGTGTAACTGCAGTCTGATCTTAGTATGACAAAAAACTGCAGCTAAGAGTTTATGCAATCTGCTTTATAACATTACATCAAGGTACAACAGTTAAAATGCACTGTTTCACAAAGAAGCAAACCTTCATTTCAAATCTGGCAATTCCCTTTTAAAAGCAAAAGTTTCCCCTTCTAGTGACATGCCTATCCTGAAGGAGATAAAGCCAGACTCATTTTGAAGGGGGGAGGGGAAGAAACACTTCCAGAATGAAGTGTCCAACAGTTCTACAGCCTGCAGGGCAGAAGGCTGCAATATTGTTTGTCTCCAGTAATACAGCTCTAAAGATACTGCTTTGTCCAAATGCTGCTATAAAGACTTTCAATTTCAAACTACTTCCAACAATAGGAATGTAACTCGAATAGGACATTCCACGATAAAGACCATTTAGCTAATGTATCTACTTAGTTATCTCAGTTTTGAGATACTGTAGTGCAGCTCCACTTCATCTTCTTTCTTGTCTGCTGCAGACTCCCATTCAAACTTCTAATGCGCAGTTCAGAACAAACCTACCGAAAGGCTTAAGCAGACTCCCCTGCTGGGTACACGAGCACAACAAGCAAGTCACATTAGCCACGGAAGTGGACCTAGTCCATTTTCAGATTTGTCAGCAAGTGATGCCAGAGCCATAGCCAGCTTGTCACCTTAGGTGAGAATGTTATGGGGAAAATAGGTATACAAACAATACATAGTACTGTTTATGCTTATTCCCTATGGAAAACTGACCTGATGCTAAGAGAAGTTTCACTCGGGGCTGTAGGAGTATTTTGATTTTACCTCTTAAAAAAGAGAGGATGGATAGTGCTACACAGACTGCCTAATACACTTACCATAGAAGCTTCCATTCCTTTTTATGGAATTTTCTCAGTATTTCTAGAACTTGATACCTACTGCTGGCTTAGTCATCACAGCTGAGTAGCAGTCCATTCTCATAGTTAACAGAACCAATACCGACCCCGCTGAAATTCACATATTGTATAGTAAATATGTCTGAAGATAAACCAGGTGATTAGCTCCAAAATGCCTGACCATGAAGAATTAAAAAGAAACAAGCTGACATCAGAGTTCTTCCTTGGATTTAAGGACCTTCAGGGCATGAACTCCCGTTTATGTTGTCCTGTAGATTTCACAAGACTTAATTCTTCCATCTTCTTTCGGTCACTTGGACATGAAAGTGAGTGTAGTTCAGCTCTGAACAGCTTTGCTTGCAATAACTGTCTTTTTCATAAAGGAAATCTGTGAATTTCCCCCTCCCCATAGATTCTCACGCATTCACACAGACTCTCTAGAAAGGTAAGACACTTTATTGAATTTGTTGATAAATTAAGAAAGGACTATGAACCAGACTTATGGGTCACAGGTGCTTGTAAACAGACATCAATTCCTTCCCACAGAAAGCCTGACTCCACGTGCTCAGCCAGAAGTCACTTTCCCCAGCGTTGCTCGCAGGCTGCATAGTGATGGAGGGCAGAGAAAAAGTCTTCATAGCTGATGTTCAGGTGGGAAGGCAAAGAACTGAGAAAGCAAGTTAGAAGAGTTAAAATAAGCTTTTATAAACACCACACGATTCGTATGGCCAGCCAGGAATATCACTACTTAAAGCAAGCTATTGTCTGAGTAACCTTGTGAAGTTGTTCTCAACACCGTTACTGTCTCTTGACTCTAGTATCTAAACTAGCTGTTAATATCTTGCCACCCTCTAAATCAAAGCCTACCCATCAGAGTACGTACGGCACTTCAAATCAGCGAGAAAGTTGGAGAAGGAAGCACAGGTCTGCCCAGACATTTAAGTGCCCTATAAATGCTCTCAGATTTAAGAAATACAGCAACTATAGTCAGTTCAGTTATTGCCAAAATTGGAAAGTAATCCAGAGGCATGATCATCGTCCATTATCCTATTTCCCTTATATCCTTAGTTTCCCTGATAGAAACCTGTAAGCCACTCAAAATCCACATAAGGAACACCAACAGAACTGGGATTGGACCACTGAGACTAGCTGATGACAGAAGTTGTTCCTTAAGCCTGAAGAGTAAAGCCTGCTGTTGCCTAGTTGTGGCTGAAGGAACAACAATGAATGTTTGACACGTTTCCTTTAACAATTTTTAAATACCCTCAAATCAATTTCCAGACACCTCGGTTTAGACAGGTCTCCTCTTATGGCTATTTCCATGAAGTCAGTCACATAAAGACTTGTTGAGTGAGATATTATTCCAACCTGTTTTACAGTATTTATAGGCAACTCACATGATCTCTGTCAGTCTGATGTGCCATGGAAGGAATCCTAATGTGCTGTCCACAGGACCAAACTTCAAGACTAAATCAGGATCAGGAAATCCATTTGTACCTGTAAGAACAAGTTAAATTAGGTTTTGTCAAATTCACCAGATTTGTTTTAATTCTAAACCCTAAGGCATCTGCTTTTTCATTGAATGCACTTTTTTTTTTTAAATAAAGTGAAGCTCCTGAGGACAAGTTAACAATTAAGAGCCCAAGAGGACAGGCTGGTCTTGCACCACCTGAACAGGACCAAATGAGCAAAAGCTTAGGCAGCCACTGCAGGCCCAGTTGGACTTATTTTTGTGTCAGGTAGTTTTCAAAGACTTCGTAAGGAAGTGATAGGAACAGTTACATTGTTTTGAATAACAGCAAACCTTAACACTGCTGTTTAAACTGACTTGTTCTAGTTTTGTCTTGGCAAACTTGATTTTAGTAGCATAGAACATGCTGTACCCTGACCCATACCTGCTACAGTCCTAACTCAACTACGTGGAGTTGCATTCAAGTAGAGTAAAAGGACTACTAAGTCAAAAAAACCACTTAAGGAGGTTCCACTGAAGAACAAATTGGTATCACAGACCATCAAGAAAACAAGTTGTAAAAAAAAAATACCCTACCAGATGAGCTGTCTCTTTCTCCGTATGGAGCTAGACAGACAATTTTAAAAACAACTTTTACTATGACATTTCAGACAAACTGTTGCAGGTGACATCTTTCTGGTTAATGAGTGAGGAAGAACAGGGCAATATTTATTTTTGTTTTCCTGTTACTAAGTGGACAGCAGGGCCCATCCCAGGGCAGGGCTAGAGAACACTGAAGGACTTCACTAAATGCTGACACTCTTACTACCCATACCTTAAAACCCCCATCATTCATTCCACTAATCTAATCCCAACTCAGATGACCTCGTTGTCTCTGTATGCCCTGTTCCAGAGACTGGGCAAACAGCTGTTTGAAAAAAGCTACTAAACTTCATCCCCTGAAAAGCTGAGACCAGCTACTACAGTTTGATGCACAAGGAAGTCTCCCCAGGAAAAGAGAAGCTAATTAAATCTTTAGTAGCTTGCTGTCTTGCTTACCAATGAGAGCATCCTACCAATCTCCTGATGTTGAAAACAATCAGTGGCCAAACGACACTGTCTCCCTTCCATACACTTCTGCCATGCCTGAGCTACTCCAGGCTAAAATTGACAGACAGGCAATAAGCTTAGAACGAACAGTCTTAGTCCAGCTTTGCCTGCTAATTCTAGCAAGCTGATTACGGCAACATGTGAAAGCCAGTATAGTACCCAAGAAGGTAAGCTGTTCTTCATGCACCTACCTAGCTCATCGGAAAAGCATTCCAGCAGTCATAACCCTACTTTGTTATAAAGTGCAATTAGTCATGATTATTGCATGCTATTTCTTGTTACCCCGTTCCATTATCCACTAAGTCTACAAGTCAACTGCAAGAGTGCTTACATTGCATAATGCCTACCTTTATCAGATAAAAAAAGTTTAATACTGCTTATTTGCTCTGAACTTCAGATGTTATTTCTCAGTTCTTTTCTCACTTGTTTAAAAAAAACCAAACCAGTCAAGAGCCTTTTACAAGTTTAAGTTTAGTTGTAGATGAGCTTAACTTTGGGAATAACAGAACAGGAAACTAAGGTCCTATCAGATTTCACTCCGCCCAGGTTTTGAAACCAAAGCTGGAGATTTCAGAAAGTTCACATCCTCCCTCCCCACTGAATCATCACAATAATAATCCTTTTACCAGAGGTAAAGCAGCTATTTTCCCAAGCATGTGCATTTCTAAAGAAGGATGAGGTATTTAGATATGAGTGCCGTGTGCCACAGCCCAAATCTTATCTCAAAGTTAAGAAAAAAGTTATAAAGCAAAAGCCGCTTATGTGTTCAGAAGCTAGCACGTTAGTGTGAGAGAACTTTGCAGGGAAGCAGTGAATACTTAGAAGTGGGGACTCTGGAGGAAGTGGACAGCTTTACTCATCAGCTGATTCAGTAGCTGAGTACTCCTCAGCTGGCCAGTTCAGCAGCAGGATCTTCAACACTGCAATGGCTTTTCAAACAGGAAAAGACCTTCAGAGAGCCCAGTTAATGCTAATATTTCCTTCTGGTTCCTATCTGAAGGAAAATGAAAACGTACACTGTAGTATTACTGTCAGAACAGCCTATTCACAACACAGTACTGTGCTTTCCACTCTTCATCCATTTCTCTACCTAAACATATCAACACTACAGATGCTTTACATGTGGAAGCTCCCTCAGAGCTGCTAGAGTTACAGCACTCTTCAAGTATAGCACACAACGTAAAAGGATTTGGGAGCGAACTCAAAAAAAAAAAAAAGAGGCCAAAAGGCTTCGACACTGAAGGGACAGGAATCTGGCAACACCCCTTCTAGGTCAGGAGTTCTGTGAGGGGAACATGAAGACATTTGTAGAGCTCACAGCACTACCCTTTCTCTTCTCCACATAGATTTTTATAGGGCAACTTGAACAGCCTTAATTGATAGTCATGTTCTTTACTAGGAAGGCAGGTGACAAGTAGGGACAATATTACAATACAGTGGCACCTACTTTTCTGAAAACAAGCTGGTTAGCTGAGGCATTGCTCAGAAGAAATAGTTACACTAAAGAAAACTCAAGATGTAAGGATTAGAGCATGACTGGATTAAGAACCAGAAAAGCCACATGACAAGCTAGAACCATACCATTTTAGGACTAGACTTCAATAACTGCATCCTAAATATGAACAGAAAGTTAAAAAACTACATTATCGGGTATTTAAATAAAAATGTGAAAACCCAGAAACTTACAGAAGTCACCACGAACACAAACCCTAAAGACATAGCTACTCAAGTACTGCTTTTCAGAACTCACTCTCAATTTAGATCAGTAACTCACAGATGTTTACGTTTAATACCTTGCCATTAAGGATGCACAGAAACTAAATTTGCCTACAACTAAAATGAGTGGTTTCATAAGCTGCTGCTAAATAAGTCATGAAAGAGTAGTTCTTCACCTCCAACTGTCCTAAACGTTAAAACCAGGCAAATTAATAAGCAGGACTAGTTCTAGATACTATCCTTAGTTATTAGCTACATAGATTAAGCAGCCTGTTTTCAAAGTTTACAGTTTTGACAGATTAAAAGTCTAGGAGATTTCTTTTTCTGTTCTCAGCTAGCATGCATTACTTGAACAATAAATCTGCTCCATTTTTAAGGGTATGCAGACTGGACCTAATACTTTCAGCACATCCAGACACTGAAATGCACGGATAGAAGATCATGAACAAGTGTTTGAGAAGCTCCAGTTAAACATCACTGGCCAAAATACATACAAGGGTATCAATAGTCACCAGTTCTTCACAAAGTGAGTGACTGTTTTAGACAAGCAATTATTAATTTCCTTAAGTTGCCTTTGGGGTATAACAGGATAGATATCTAAGTTACCTCTTCAGGTGCCTAATTAAACACATTTAATAATTCCGTTACAGTGAGAAGTATCATGCAGCATGCTGACAATAGGGATAGAATTCAGTTTGAAATTAAGATTAAAGTGTCTAAACTGCCACAGCAATTCAGCTGACCACCCATTTGAAAAAAAAAAAATCACTCTCTGAAGTGACTCCCAATTAATGGGAGTCACACTACAATAATGTGCCTGCAGACATCCAAGTTCAAGTGTGCAATCTGAAACCTGAACCCTGCCAAGTTAATTACAGCTGCAATTAACATGCATGGACCACCTAGGAAAGCTGAGCAAGTACTACAGCTCCATAGCCCCACTGGGGAAGTGGAGGTTTGTTCTAAACTACTTCTCCCAGATGTGAGATTAGGGCAGCCCTGCCCTTTTCATAGCTACTGCATGTAGCCATGCACCTCAGCGCAGGGTCAGTAATCTGCATGAATTAGTAACGAAGACAACTAAGCTGGGACGGTTATACAGCAGCAAAAGATCAGCAAGTGCTCTATCATTTGCACTCAGGGTGGTAGTTAGGCAGCAGTAACAGCTTTAATTGCTGTAACTACATCTGGAAAAGACTCTGCCCATACCCAGGTTTGCAGCATACTAACTTGCAAGATGTTAACCTAAGTTATAATCGTCTAGTTTCAGTGGTATCTTTTTCAGAAAGCTCATCGCAGAACATCCCACAGAGGCTGTAAACTCTGAAAAACTGAGTCTCCAATTCAGCTTAATTCCTTTCTCTGCTTAAAGAAAAAGCTCAAAAGGAAGTAAACCAGTAAGAAATTTTTAGCAGAAGCCTGCAAGCAGTAATTGTAACTTACACTGATAGACTAAGCATCAAGATGCATACGTACTAAGCAATAAATATACTAGAAACCAAATCCATTATGAATCGAGTACCCTCTCCCCTCCTCCCCACAGACCATGTCATACTTACTACTTAATAAGTTGTCTAACACATTCACATCCAGGTCTGTGTATGTTCTTTGCTGCTGTGCTACCAACTGACAAAAGTTCTGAGCAGCTTTTACTATGTCTGCTTTTCCATCTTCCGGGGACAGCACCTTCAATGTAGATTGGCAATTTAAAACTGAAAGTACAAAACACAGTTTAAAAGCAACAGAAATATAGTTGTTTTGAATGTGCTTTAGATACTCACAGGGTATGATTGAAAGTAACTTGCAGATTACTTCATATATTATACAGCTAGTCATAGATATACCTCATCCATCTCTTACAGAAGTGGGTAAGAATCTTCTGGATTTGCTGTATTACTGAAAAGCAAGTTTAAGGCAACTATTTTGAGGAGTCTTGTGAAAAGTGGTTTAATTAATGTCAGTCTTGAAACGTAGAGTCTTCCAGCGAATTTGCATTGGTTCTTACACTGTCAGGCAAAGCAGTGAGAGGACGGTGCCTAGATAGTAACTTGGGGGGTGGTAAGCAATGCAGAAAGACTTGCAGTTCAGGGAAAAGAAAAAAGATCTAATTCCTACCCTAAAAGAGGAAAGTGTTTTAACAGCTACTGTGGACATTCATGTGACACAATGATTAAGCTGGGGCCCTCCCTGAATATGATCACAGGATCTTTCAGCAGCACTTCAAAATTGATGCAAGAGTTACAATATTAATCTAAGATTGCTACAGAGAAGCTAGGAACCAGGTAATAGTACCAGAATTCACCCATTTAATCTGTAATTATGTCTGTGACTTAAGGGGACATTTCACAACAATCTTATTGTCTACACTATTGTGAGGTAAGAGTCTTCTCGCACTACGTGGCTTGTGTCATCATCAGTTCTGATAAGGTACCTAAGAGGTAAACTTACCGAGGAAGCTGAAGGCCACAGATAGTGTACTAAACCCAGCTTGAAGTAACTGGGTTAAATACTAGTGTGTGGACACATTAGACTGATACAGAACTTATGACAGTTATAACTAAATACTTTAAAATAGCATTTCTTAAGACTGCAGAACCTGACTGCAAAGGACCACAGAATACAGTCAGAAGACTCGTAAGAACACCTAAAAAAACCTGTTAGTCTATCCAAAGCTACCACAATGAAAATAATTGTTCCTTGATATTGTTTGATTTGTCATATGTCCTATGTTAAAGACTATTTCTCTAACAGTATTCATAAGTGTAAGACATCTCTTTTTGCTTCTCAGAAGTGAAAAACTGCAGTTTATTATTATAAACTAGATTGAACTGAACAAGCTGACATCCAAGTATGAAGTGCCTGGTCTGACTGTGGAGCCTTCTGAGTAAGAATGAAAAATTCTAAAGAGAACAGAAAACACCTCTGCTTTTCACAGTTTCCAGCACAAAAGGTTCCTGAGACTTAAATGTATCCTTTCAGTTGGCAAGTCTGAACAGTTTTCCAGTAGTTCATTTGGTCTGGACATAAATATCCCGATTTAGATAAACTCTAGCACACTTAACTGCAGTTAAGACATTAATAACCTGTCTACCCTGTTTTCTGCTGGTTATTTCAACCTTCACAGGAATAAAGAGAAATAACATAGGTTGTGTCCATGTAAATACCTCAGCCTAAGTTGCTTACAAGGCAAGTTTATGCTACAACATTGGACTTTATACTGGAAAACTGGCACAAAGGATCTCGCCATCCTATTAGCTCTTGTAGGGGAAGCAAAACTCAGCCAACAGCATCTTAAATGCAGCTAAATGTACTACAGCTTGTGTAGTTTTTTCTTAAGTCTTTGAACTATGTAATATGACTGTCTTAAAATGTAAGTGGTTTTTTATTATGAGACCTATTTAAATAGTATGAGTTGTAGGAGAGCTGTAAGTATCAGCCTATCCCTCTAAGGCAAGGGCTTGCTTTAGTAAGTACATGCTTGTGATTCACTACACTTTGAATAGACTTCTAGCATTTGTGTTAGTCAGCATACCTAAATGAATACTTACAGCAGATAGTACTGAATAAGGAACATTAACCTCGAAACATATTCCCGTTTTCCACTTCTACTACGTGCAAAAGCTGCTATCACAGATTTTTTTTAATTTTTTTAATATATTTATATATAAACATATTTATACATTGCCATGACAACCAACAGTTTTGCTCTTTCCCTTCTTCCTCCCAACTTTGAGGTATAAGTTTGGGAAGATGGAAGTGCACACATTGTTAACTTGACATCAGTTCCCTTACAGTAACTCCAGTGCTTTTCAACTCTCAGCAAAAGAATTAATCTCACCGAAACAGTGGAGAGTTGAGCTACACTGATGCATCAAAGGAGTCATGGCACAACAGTCGGGCCAAAGGGAAGATCAGACTACCCAGTAATGATCACTATGGGAAGGAGAAAGCAACACTTCACTACTAGTTAAGAACAAATAAGCACAATGAAAGCTTACAACTAGCCCAGGAAGGTTGCGTGTGTTCTGACAATCAGTGCTTAATGAAGGAAAATGTCACTGTACACAGGAATGCGTTTAAGTATAAGCAGAGTTATGATTTATATACAGTTATTTGGAGTCACACCAATCCCCCCTCACAATTCATCTTACCTTGATCAGCTTTGTCTTGATTTGCAAATTCCACGGTGTACTTGGAGCAATCTAGTCCTAAGAGTTCTTGCTGCTGTTTTAAGATCTCATCCATCAATCTTGAATTATTCCTCTTGAAAATACCTTTAAAAAAAGGTTGCATTGTCAGCCAACTCCTATAAAGAGTGCTACAAAACAAATCTGACACTAGGCAGGAAGAAAAAAGAATCAGGTAGTCAGTACTGGTTTCAAACTGGAGTTCACAAGTACGATAAGAATCCAAAGCAAATACTATTGCACATGACTAATTTCAGTGACCTTGGAAAGAGAACTCTCATGTGCTTTTCGTTCCTCTTTCACTCAGCCTGGTTTAAGTAGCAAGCTGCAATTGCATAAAGGATAGTTTCAAGACATACTTCACTGTCCTTAGTATGCCAGCAATAGTTTGAGATAGCAATACCCTACCAGCACAGAACCACCAAGTCAGATTAACACCAAGTTTCTTTAATGCCCATGCTGCTGTAGATTTGCAGCTTAAGTCTGCTACCACTTACTACCCCACCATTAAGGCTGCAGGCTAACAAAACAAGTCACCACAAAGCAAGAGCCGGAAGACTAAATCAGCGTGTCAGGCCACAGTAACTGTCCACTCTTATGCCACGGCCAATGCCACGGATTTCCTAATAAGAGGATTTCACAAGCTGTATATTCCAAGGAGTTAATGCAGTCCCCAAGGCCTTTTTATACTTACATGTTTATGGTAGACACATTTTGAGTGCAGGAGATTACAAAAACTTGCTCAATGAAACACACTCAGGTTCCTGTTCTAAAATAAATTCTAGCTCTCGAGACACAACACAACTATTTGTAATTAAAAGCCACAGTAAAAATTAAGTGTCACAGCTTAAATATTTACAATGCCAAAGTGTGGCTAGGCATATTTATTTAGGAACTGATAATGCTTTTATCACGTTGTATTTGAGGGTTGTTACTAAGAGCCTAAGTTTCATTCAGCAATCCTATGTCAAGCACTTCTGTTGACCAGTCTAAAAATGCCCACACAATAATTTTACAAGAAACAATGAACTTGTATACAATTTGATGATCAGGCTTATGATTCATCACCTCAACCTGAATCTGGGATTAGACACTGCTACAAACAGCCGTTTCCACATCAGTAGTGGTCAAACAGTGTACAAGCACTGGGTTAAGACCATAATACATTAGGAGTTAGTCTGCAACATGAAGTGATACAATGCATTTATTTAATATGCTAGTCTTTTAGCCCTAGCGAGTTAGTATTTTTATACAGGCTTCATTAGAGGTTTTAATAGGTGGTAAAGCATCTGGTTTTCTGCCCATCCTGGATACTTCCTGAAAAAAAAAATTTACTTCACTACACAAGTGTTAGTGATGCTTATAACCGATTTCACATGTTGACAGACAAGCAAATCTCAGTAAGGCAGCAACCTTGATAGTGAAGTATTCTAACACTTTTTTCCTAAGTCTAAACTAAATTGTTACGCTTTGTGCTCCTGCTTACTGGTGTATATTCATACATATAAGAAGTTGAGAATGCTGTTTGATACAACTCTGCTTAGATAAGTCTGTTTTGTGCTAGTTAGCACTGATTGTCTTCCTTACACTTTAGGTCAGCAGCAGTGCGGCTACTGCAACTGCTAATCCCGCACCATCTTCAAGTAAGATCTTGTGCAAGGCTGCATGTGCCTCACCTCTAACAGTCACTTGACTTCCATCCACTTTTCAAGATGAGGAAAAAAACCCCCTATGTTCAATATTCAGAAAAGGAGTTGGCATAATTAGGAAAGGCTCCCAATCTGGGAAACAGCTGCTCTCTTCTTCCCCTTCCAACACTAATGATACCAATTCTTTTCTCATGAAAAGTTGTTGCCTATTCCTGTCAAAGATTGGAAGAACAGATTTAAGAATCTGCACTCCAGCTCCAAAGTAAATGAAGACATTGGGGATAACAGGTAGGAGAACAGACTAAGGTGCTTACTGCTCAGTAAAAAGGGACGTCAGATAAAGGACTTGGTCCAGCTCTTAAGTGAAGGTCCTTAATACATACAGTGGATACTGAAGACATGCTAGATGTGTTCTTGAGATTTATCTGAAGACCACCAGCATTTCCCTTCTACTCTCCTTATTTGTCTCACCCACCTCCTTAGCTGTTCAAACCTGGGTCCTGTGTTGCTCTTGGAATAGCACTTTAACATAAACTGGCTACTGCAGTTGTACTGTATAGCTGTAGTACGTCTTTCTTGGAAAGACCTCCACACCTAAATTCCAACTGATTGACCAACCTTGACACCCCTGCAGTTTTCCTGCAGAGAAGACCCTGAAGCACATCAGAGGGTAGTAAAGATTCAAACTAACTGAAATCTTCATTTAAAACCAATAGCATTTGGGAACTTTACTCCTTCAGTGTTTTGTCTCTCACTCTGTACAAGACACTTTTTCTTACAAATGCGTATGATGGCAAATACAGTCCTGCCAGGGGCAATGTACATGGGCCAAATTCACATTTGACTTAAAATTATTTTACATGGTTGTGGCTCAGACATACGCTCCCTTCCCTTACAGTAGCTCAAAACCCCATTTGGCTACAAGATGCATTTTTTAAAACTTTGAAAATATATCCAAATTAGTCCTGGAAGACGCTGTTGGTAGTTTATACATGATAAATAGAGTAAACAAGAGTGCATGAGTAGACCAACTCATTAACAGAATTCAAGTGTTCCTAGGCAGCGAGACTTAAGTCTTGATTTAATGCTATCTTCCAATTTTGTTCACAGTCTTCCACAGAAGTTGAAAGCAAGTCCATAATATGATTTTAACATTATAGAAAGTTAATGTGTGACAAGAGGTCTAATAAATTTTAGCAATACAACAGCTGTTTGCTGTTAAATGGGGAAAAATTCAGCCCTACTACTGTTTCTAATACGGAACACAAACATGAAATTGTCACTAGTATTTCTCATTAGAAACAATTTTTGGTTTTGAAAAGCAGAAACAGTTTTGTTCAATCAGAACTCTGGAGTCTTTGCAAGCTGGTACAAATGTGTATATTCCAGCAAATGAAGTGTTTTAAGTATTATGCATATTTAAGTACCACAATTCCCAAAGCAAGAGAGTATAAAACTTCAGGTGTTTGGGTTTTTTTTAAACTACTGCAAACGCGTGAGCTGTTTCCAGGGATAATTATTGTTTTTACAACACAAGCTGCAAACCTGCTGTGGATCATTAGTTCCCATCAGAGCAGAGGCAAACCAGAAGTGTTTTAGCTTCTTACAGTAGTCCTCCATTACACGGGTCTTTTCAGGGGCACATGGCTTTTGCTCAGTTTTACAATAGTTACAAGCCATGCCCCTTTGCAATCAACTGTGGTGTTGCAGCATTTTAGGGTTAGAGACTAACAAATGCTGTTTGTAATTAAGAGGCTGTAAGTTCAGCAGAAGCAAGGCTCAAAATTGACAGGAATTGGAGGGGAACAACTGACACAGAGAAACACCAGGTGATGTCAACCATTTGTTTGTCCAGCTAGACTACCACAGCCACCACCTGTTAATGCCTTGGTAGCATCTCAAAGTTCAACATTCTCACTTGCCCTGCTTTTTAAAGCAGCAGAATCTAGTACAACACAGGCGAAGAGTCAGTTCTTCCTTACAAGGGAACACCTTAACCAAAGTTAAGCCTAGGAAAGAATACATTTCCACAGCATTTCAGTTAATTGAATGCTGAATTCAGTTAATTCAGCTTTTTCTCAACTCCCTTCCAGTGCCAACAAGGGAAGAGTCATAAGGTAACAAGTCTGTTTTAATCATCAAACTATTAACAGTTTGAGAAACATCAAATCATATCCCACTCCAAATAACATACATGCAAGAAGCTGTTTTAACACATGAAGAACTTCTGCCTACATCCTCGTGTTGGATCATGCTGGTTGCAGTTTAATGGAGGAAAGCAGGGTTTGAGTCATTGCACTGCACCTCACAGGATATGGAGAGCTAGAAAAATGTATTGGGCTTGTCTATTCCAAGAGTCTAGAAAAAATATAATCCAAGTTTAAAAGTGGCTGAAGTCACTTAAGTTTCATCGACGTTAAAGCCACTTAAGCTAGCGAGCACTAGCCAAACGGGAAGAATTCAAGTGAGAACTTATAACCTCGTAGCTGACCATTCCTCCACATTTCTTTTTGGAGGGACATTCTGTACCAGGAGAACAAGAGCTCATCAGCAATCAAGAGAAGAGATACTACTTTCATATTACCCATACCTATAAGGAGACCATCTTCTACAGATTAGTGTTAGCCCTTTTAATAAATGTGATCTGAGGACCCCTGCCAACTCAACACCAAAACACAATTGTTGAATTTGAAGTTTCACATGGGTGAAGACCCGTAGCAGATGCCATGTGATACTAGTATCTCACAAAAGGTGTTCCGGTGACACAAAACCAGAACATATTTATCTCCCCCCGTGAAGTGAACACACTGAACACCCAGAAAGTTTTATGGATTGTCACATATGCTAAACTACTAAGTAATTTGGAAAACACTAAAAGCCTACATTTGGGGCTAATGAAATAACTTCTTTTGCTTACTGCAGTACTCTATCCTTTCAAAGAATTTCTAAGAGAAAATTGGTTAGAAGTAAAGCAGTTCACTGGAAAGCTAAACCCAGGGTGAAGAAACCCAAGTTCTCAACACAGTCACACTATGAGCTTTAAGAAGCCTTCAACCTGAAGCATCTATTCAGGAGCCCAAAGTACTCAAATGCCAAGATTCAGCAAGCTCCCAAAAAGCGCTCTAGACTTGTCCCGAACTATTTCGGGAAAGCTTCACTGATGGACAGAAGTAACACTCAAGCAAGCTCTTGAGTGGGAAAGTAACTTGAACAGAAGAAAGGTAAAGTGTACGACACTGGTCAAAGGCTTCTGCTCCCCAGAAGGTATCTTAACTGCTGTTATAGAATTGCATAATCGCTGCCTTCTGACTGCCAGAAGGCTGCATTATTTCCTCAGAGATAAGGTCTTGACCAGCATGGCTGGATTTCTATCAAGTAATAGGATTTGCAATACAGAAATCCACTGAAATAAATCCCTGATCAAAAAACTAAAATTTTAGTCAATCTGGACTTAACAGCCAAGGTGCACACGGTAGCATTACATTTATTAAGGCTTTGTTCTGCTGCGTATCAATGAAAATTGGGAGAATGAAAAGGGCCCCTAAATACCAGAGGCAGTAAAAGCATGCCACCTTAGGCCTCCAAGCCTGCTGGTGCGGGGGGAAAATACCAGTTTTGAGCACTGCAACTTATAGAACCATGTATTTATTACAGTACAAGACAGTTACTTAGATTATGGTCCTCTCGCATTCTGCAAAGACCTTTTTACCCCAGTCTTCTGGCACACTGATCTTCATGAATTCGGAGAAGACAGCCAAGTACCTGATCACGTTCCACAAGTATTATCCAATAAATTTGTAACATATTGGGTTCTGTAACTGCCCATGAGAATCAGCACAACTCCAGCCAAGTTGCCCTTAGAGTTACTGGTGCAGCTGCTGTAACACAGTAGTGTCAGCTGGGATGCAGCTACTTATTTTGACACCAAAGAAACACAGAAACCACCTTTTACTTAGTCATTTTGTTAAAAATATAGAAATTCACTACTATAAACAAATAAAGAGCTTATCTGGCACTTCTTCTTTAAAGAACATCATGCTTCTTTCTCCTCCTATAGAAGGGGCAATTAAGGACACATTTTTAATTCAAACCTTCTACAGAACACCGACACAGTATTTCTCCAGAAAACACAAGCATGGAAGACCACTCTTGTAATCAAAGTTTCCAGTTACAACGAGAAGAATCTCAGTACTACAAATACGCAATGAAGGAAAAGGAAACAAATTAAAGTATACCCCGCTACATCTAACACAGATTCAGAGCACTTGTCATTGTGTTTCCTTCTTCACCACAGCCAGCATCAGTGGGGACAACGTAACTTCGATAAGTCAATAGTTGGTACAATTGTATGAACACAGAACCTTACCAAAGAAGCTCAGCAGACCAAAAGTAAGCCTCGCCACCTGAGAAGATGAAGCCAAGCGCATAGCATAATTAAGGTTCAGCCTCTGCTACTGATAATAGCAAGCTGTACCTCACTTTATTCACCTTCACTATACTAGTGTTACTGCTGAGGGTTCCAGATATCACTATTATTCAGAACCAGATTTAGCAACAACTACAACATCCTACTTAACGACAAGTCTACCTGGAAATGCTGTATGCTCAATCCAGACACCATAAGGAGCTTAGCACCAGAAGAAAAGCAACATATCTGCTATTATCAGAAGTAAGCATATACTCAAGCCATATGAATGACCACTTGCTCACTCTCTGAAACCAGTTTAAAAGGCTTAACTGCTTTTTGCACAGTGTCTTGTCAGCTGTGGCTGCTATCCCAGAAAACCCATTGAACACCTGTGAAGAACATGCATGTATAATGGCAGGCTATTCTCATCAAACCTGAAAGTTTAGCAAAAGCTACTGATTTAAAACCTTTTAGTTACTCTGCATTAAGTCTTGCCTTCTTCAATTATGTTCCAACAAACTGGAATTTGAGCTGGCAATTGAACCAGCATATTCTGGTATCAAAGGACTAACAGAAGAAAGAACTAGTGAAAAGCATTATGTCTTTATACTGAAATCATGAGATTATAGCCATATTTTTAGATTTCAAAGGTGTTAACAAGACCTCTTAACACGCAACTTCAGCATGAATGTAACAATACATGTGTCCTGGTTTCGACATGGAAACAGCAGCAAATAATCTCCAAGACTGTTATTGTCTTTGTTAGCAGGTCAGAAAAAAAAAAAAAACAACTAAGACAAGGTTATTTCAGCTACACTGCTCTTCCGAGGACATAACCTTGTCATTTCTGGTCATCATATTTACAGTCTTGCAATAGTCAATCTTAGATCTGACTGGATCTCAACATGTGTGCTGGAGAAGCAGAAGTAGCTTCTCCACAATGAAGGCGTCAGACACTGTAACAGCACTGGCTCCTCTCTGTCAAACAGAATCTCAGCAACATGTGGCTGGTGCCACCAGCATTGGCTGGTGCCTTCTCCCTCCTCAGTGTCTAATGGTTGCGTGGTGAGCAATCTGAAACCCCAGACCACCAAGAAACTCTCAGCTGGATCTGTTCCTCAATTCAGTTCTCATATATATAAGTTGTGCAGCACAATGCAGGGATCTAAAAAGGAACTAAGCATACATGCATAATGTATTAGGCAATACTACAGATAGCTTATTTGAGGTTTGACAGAAATTATAGAGATCCTACAATAAAACGTCTCTCTTCAGGCTATGAGGGAAACTCTCACTCTTGTTTGGTACTAATGTGCTCTGCAGCATTAAACCTGGTTGAATGCTTTCCAAATTGAGAGCAAGAAATATCAACACATAAATGGCTTTTCAGAAGGTGCTGTTTTCTGTGTCCTCAAGATGTTATGCAAATATTTCAGGATCTAAAAAGGAACTAAGCATACATGCATAATGTATTAGGCAATACTACAGATAGCTTATTTGAGGTTTGACAGAAATTAGAGATCCTGTACAATAAAACGTCTCTCTTCAGGCTATGAGGGAAACTCTCACTCTTGTTTGGTACTAATGTTTGCTCTGCAGCATTAAACCTGGTTGAATGCTTTCCAAATTGAGAGCAAGAAATATCAACACATAAATGGCTTTTCAGAAGGTGCTGTTTTCTGTGTCCTCAAGATGTTATGCAAATATTTCATTCCATTCCTTGACTTCTAAATGAAGAAGTATTCTCCCACTGAAACACAACATAACCAAGTTCCACAACAGCCCTGCACAGATGGCCAGTTTAAACTAAGTGACTGGTATTAAGCCTAGTTTCTTAAAAAGATCTTAGAGAATTTAGTGAAAGTCAAGCCATTCGAGTCTTATATCACATATGAAGGACCAGACATGAAACAGAACTATTAATGGCAGTTTTAATGGGGTTTAAAAAAAAAAAAAAATCACAAATGCCTATGCTCAGGGAAAGGCCTGCATACCTCAGATGCTTTTGCACACTTGACAATAGATTGCACCTTGGGATGCACCGTTGAGTTTTTCCTGAAAGGGCACCAGAAGACAACTATTACAAACTGTACCTCTAACCCAGCATATATCTACAGAGTTAATCCAACTTGCATGACATCTCTAGACAGCCATCAGAAGTGGCTCAAAACAACAGCTAAACACTGGTTTCCTACAGTCTCACCATTGACAGCAAGAGCATAGGGATCTCTGGCACGAAGCCTTCTCCTCTGGAGAGGACAGAAACAGGACA